CACTACAATGGGAGTACTTAATATACTGGAATCTCACAAAGGCATCCCGGGGCTCTACAATGTCATGAGAACTGAAGAGATAGTGACGGGTTTGGGGTTTCGGGGTTTAGGGGTCTAGGGGCTTAGGGGTTTGGGGGTTTAGGGGTTTGGGGGTCTAGGGGCTTAGGGGTTTAGGGGTTTATGGGTCCGAGGGTTTAGGGTTTAGGGGTTTAGGTCCCCTGACATGCCAAGCTTTTCCGAGCCAACAGTCAATCCGACGCGCTCTGGTGACGCCTTACACGTGCTTCAAAAGTTTCTTTTAAACTTGCCAGTGGAAAATGAAGGAGGGGGGCTGGGTTGGATGAATGCTTCTTCTCCCCTACGAGTTGGGCACCACCATGGAGTGGGGATTCAGGAAAAGGGTTCCAGAAGAATTGATCCAACCATCCGTCACCCTATTTGGGGCATAATTTGAACAGGGACCCCTAGAATCCTCATGTATCTCTGGAACCCCGCAAAAGCGCTGAATAGTCAGACTAGGCCTTGGATATATTGTAGAACATTCCAGCCGACGAAACCTCTGACGCAGGCCCGTATATTCAACGGGTCTTGCTCTTGAGACGTCTTGCAATAACATGTGATACACTTCCAGATCATCGACTTCTACACCCGTAGACGGTTCCATGTTATCCCTCATATATATATATATATACATCTCGCTTCCTCATCAGAAGTCTTGTATGCTCTCTGACATGTCATCCTCAAATATCCGTGTTTCTCACATGGTTCTTACACAAATCCCCACGGAAACTTCCTTAATCCCCCCCCACAATTGCCCTGAAGCCTTTCAGAGTCCGTAAGAGCACCCTTTGCCCAAGCCCAAAAACTCGAAACTGTAAACCCCAAAGCCCCTAAACGCCTGAACCTTCGCAGCCGTTACACCCGCAAAACCTCAGCTGAAACCCCTACCCCTAAACCCTAAACCCTAAACCCCCTGAACCCTTAAACCGCTCATATGTAGCTGCCCAGGAGACCTTCGCCGAGCCACACCCTTCTGGCCCACCGCCAGGTTGGCAGGGCACGCCGCAGGCGAAAGGGGTTTCCCTGCGAGAGAAGAACACTTGGGATCGGTTTAGGGTTTAGGGTTTGTGGTGAGGTATTGCCACCACTCTGTAACAGTTGGATAATATTAAGAGTGTAGTTATATGATAGTTTCCCTAAATAGGGGTATCCCAATATAGACCCCCAAATACTATGGTCCTTATTATGGGGACCCCCAAAAAGGTACCCCTGATTTTGGGAAGCTTCTTTTTTTTTTGTTGCCCTTGATATGAACCCGAATGCAGACTGTTACAGGGTGGGGGCAGTGGCCAAGCTAAGGGTTATTGCGGGCCTGATTCAGGACTTTCATAGGGCCATAGGGAGTATTGTTGGGGTTGTGGGTTTGGAGTATGTGCTGGGGGTCGAGATTTGTTGTTTAGACCTGAGGGGTGAGGTCGAGGGCTTGGGTTTGAAGGTCTGGAGTTCAGGTGTAGATTGTAGTTAGAATGTTGCGGGTCATGTGCTGTAGATGGCTTATAGGATTACATCAGAGGTCGTCTGAATTAGCGACAAGGGCTTCTCAACATTTTCGGTGCTGCTGCCCGATATCCGTACTTGGGTGAAATCCATGCTTGTAACATGGAAGCTAGATGGAGCATTGTGAAAGTTGGGATCTGTCGGGTAAACGTTCTGGCAATCGACAAGAATTTCTTTTGCTCATGTAGGCTGTGTCTCTTTGACGAGACCTAGACCCTAGCCAAATACAACTGATTAAGGGGGAGCCTGGACGAGAGGGTGGGGCAGTATAGGGTGTAGTAGGGGAACCCATGATCCTCTCATCTCCAAACCTGGTTCAGCATTTACAGCTCCGGTAGCGCCCCCGTGGAACCCAATTAGACGAATCGTTTGGAACCACCCTAAACCCTAAACCTTTAAAATTGAGAATTTGTCAAAAGACTGATCCCCTCAGGATGGTCCTGAACCTTAAGCCCCCATGTGAGCTAGAGTCTACACTCCTTAAAGGGGGGTTAATTAGGGGATTGTATAGGGGACTACTATAGGGGTTATTAAGGGGGATACTAGGAGATTAGACAATAACCCTTTAACCCCCTATACAGTCCCATTTCCATTTCATCTTCCATTTTCTTTTGCATTTGATTCTCCACTACAGGACTTATTAAGGGGGGTACCTGAACCGTAATCTCAACCTTGAGACAGCGGCTCATGTATCCCCAGGGTCTGAATGGTACACCTGAGGACGACAAGAGCAGTTTAGGGTTTGGGGTTTATGGTTTAGAGATTCTGGTGGTTGGGTTTTGGGTTTGGGGCATTTATAGTAAGTACGTTGAAGCTCTCATATGAGCTAGAGTCTAAACTCCTTCAAAGGGGGATTATATAGAGGATTATAGGGGGGTGTAGTAGAGGGCTTATGAAGGGGGCTACTAGGAGTTTAGACTATTGCTCATTTGGGGTCTAGCCATTATGGGACTTCGGATTTGGAATCTATGCTGCACCTTCAACGAATGTATATTCCAAGTTCTAACGATCCCAAGATCTCCCTTATGTAGCCCTCTCATCATCCAGAAAACGGTTTACGGTTTGGGGTTTAGGGACCTTGCTTGGGTCATACAGGCCTTGCCTGCGAGTATCCATGCATTTCTCTCGCGCCCACGGACATTTTAGCCTGTTCATTCAGGCTGGCGGCTTTAAACCCAGAATCCTAACTACCAAACACCCAAACCACTACGCCCTAAACCCTAAACCCTTAAGCCTAAACCTATGGATCTTCAATCCCTAAACCCTCTAAACCCCCAAACCCTCAAGTAAGCCCCCAAACCGACATTCTTTGCTACTTGAACCCCAACCCCTGACCCGACGGATTTGGTAGTTTCCCAAAATAAGGGGACCCTAAGAAAGACCCCAAAATTCTATAGTCCTTATTATGGGGATCCCCAAAAAGGGTACCCCTAATTTTGGGAAACCCCCATTTCCTGAAATTGGTAGAGCTCGGAGGCTTCCTGGCCAGCGCGGGCACTTAGCAATCTGTTTTCTGGGTTGGGGTTTAGGGTTTAGGGGTTTTAGGGTTACCATAATGGCCTATAATGGAGAATGAAATGGAAAATAAAATGGAAAATGAAATGGAAACTGGGGGAATATAGGGAGTTAAGGAATGGGTATATATATATATAGTAAATAAAAGGCTTTCCCCAATATAGTAACTTAAATTAAGTTCCTTAACAGCAACCCAGTTTTTCCTTTAGTCATAAGGGTCATATTGGGGTTATATTGGGGTTATATTAGGGTTGTATTGGGGTTATATGTTTTTCCTTGAGTCATAAGGGGTAGGTTTGAAAGAAGTTTCTGATTTTCATTACCTTTAATCCCTCCATAATCCTGGTAAAGCCATAGAGAATGTAATTTTTATAGGTCCCCCAAACCTTTCCTAGCCATGCAATCCTCTACTGCACCTCCCTCCCCCAACGTGGGCTCCCAAATCAAGCCCAATTAGGGTGTGAGGGTAGGATGCAAATAACCCCTATATAATCACAGTTTCCATTTCATTTTCCATTTTCTTTTCCATTTGATTCTCCATTATTGGGGTAATGTCCCTATATATCCCTTTAAAGGGACCTAGGGTTTCCATTTCATTTTCCATTTTCTTTTCCATTTGATTCTCCATTATTGGGTACCATAGTATCCCCAGGGGACAGCAAGGCGAGGGGCGTAGTATAGATGGTAGCAAGGGATTAGGGGTTTGGGATCCGGGGATGTGGGTGGTTCCTGCCCAACATCCCTCCGCCTTAAACTGGTCGGTTTTGGGTTCAGGGTTTAGGATTCAAAGCTTCAGAGATCGTCTTACCTGGATGAGACCAACCACCTCGCCCTCAGCCTGATCCACATAGAATGGGAGTTTCTCAACCTATCCGTTATGTGATCCCTCCTCCTCTCTGGGAGCATATTGTACCACGCTAAAGGGCTCAAAATCCTTCAACCCTAGACCCTTAACCCTGAATCCTAAATACTAAAGCCTAAAGCCCAAGCCCAAGTCCAAAAGAAATCCAAAGCCCTGACTCTCCTCAGGTTGCCCCGGGACCCCCGCCAGGGTTGGTCCCGGGACCCCGGCCCCCAGGCGCTGTGGCGAAAGTAGACGACATGGCGCCGCCTCCTGGCAACCTGGCTGCTGTAAAAAATTAGGTTTGGTGTTTAGGGTTTAGGATACACACCTTGCAAAACCTCGGGCCCATATACCAGCGTAATTCCTCGGACTTGGACGGCGGACAGGGTGGTGCGGGTGATCAGCTACCTGCAGGGGTTGGTTCACGGTGTGGACTCGCGCGCTGACATGGAGCAGCCTGAACGTAGTGGTCTCCCATTTTACCTCTCACATGTGAAAAATATGCTTCAGTTCCCGTTTCGCCTCTCATGGTCAAAGATAAGCCTGCATTCCTGGCTCGTGGGGGCTTGGTGATAAGCAAATATAAGCAGCCTTTTTTTGCGGTCCTGGTTTGGGCGTAGCTCTAACCCCTAGACCGACGTGTTTGGAAGACGCAAAAGCACGGTTGCTCCCAAAAATGTGCTGTTGAACGTGTCTCGGATGGGGTTTGGCGGATTCTACTGAAGTCTCGTGGCTAGGTCCATGCTCTGGAGGCTTAGGACAGGATCCATATGCCGGTTTCTAAACAAGTGTGGCCCCTGCTGGATGCCCAGCTGAGAAGGAATCTGCACCTTTCGCTGGTACAAAGACAGTTGTGAGGCCTTCATTGTGGGGGTGCCACTAGCGTTGGGGCCAACACCTCATCTGCAATAGAATAGAACAGGGTTCACGGCTCGCTGGAGCATGGCCATTGCGTAAGACATCCATCGAAAGCTCGTGTGACAGCTTAGGTAACTTTGCAGTTCCTGACACCGGTCCATACCAGCCGAGCTCAGGGCCGCCCAAAGAGTACCTTACAGATCCGCATAAGAATGTGCCAAGCTACCCCCCGGCTCCAAGAGCTGACCGAGCAGACCCGTACTTTCCTGGCCAAGTGCCCCGACCGGAGTATGCTTCGGCCCCTCCGGCTTCTGCGGCTCCAGCGGGAGTGGGGCCGCCAGGGGGTCAGCGGGACATGTATCCACCAGCAGGCCACGGTTACCCACCGCGGCAGGCGCCGCCCAGTCACCCCGCTGATGCTGCATACCCGAGGCAAAGTTCACAAAGCCAGCACCCTCCTGCTCCACCACCAGGGTATCATGGACATGCGCAGGGGCTCCGGCCTCAGTCTCAGCCACCGGCTCCGGCTCCTGCTCCTGCTGCGGCCCCTTATCACCAAAGCCAACCTCCCGCAGCTCAGCCTCCACACAACTCACACGCTCCAGCAGAAACTTCACGTTATCCTCCCACGGCCCCTGAGCCCCAAGAGCAGAAACCGCAATACCCATCGCAGACAGCTTGGGGTCCTCGGGACAACAGAGACAAACCTCCTAGCTCTTGGGGTGCACATGCGGGTGATGTGCAGTCGGGTGAGCAAACCCGTCACCGTCGGCGCAGACACCATCACTCAACTCGGGACTCCCACAGGCCGTCCTCCCGCCGGCACCGCTCACACCGCCGTCGGCGGGATCGCAGTCGAAGCCGAGAGGCACCGGACAGGCCACCTGGAGACCACAGTGCTGTGCCTGTGCAGGCAGCGCAGCCCCAGGTGCCTCCCAAAACCCAGACTCGTCCTGAAGCCAGGGACGACCGGGCAGCTTGGCCGCCTGCAAAGCCTCCAGCCCCTCAGCAGCTTGTTCCACCATCAAGACCACCCTTCCCGGACAGAGTTGACAGAGACCGACTGCCGCCCACGTCTCAGGGCCGACCACCAAACCTCCCAGTGCTCAGAGAAGCCCGTCAAGGCGCTCCTCCTCAGGCGTGGAGGGAGGCCCCTTCGCAGCCGCAACAACCTTTGCCGCGTCCTCAGTCGTTCTCATAAGTGCAGCTGTTGTGTGATCTGGACCAGGTGGGCAAGGCCAGAGCAGTCGCCTGCCAGACCAGCAGCACCGGCTCCGGTGCGCGCCGCCGCGCCGGCCACCACGCCGGCCACCACGCCGGCCACGGTGCGGCCTGCAACGCCAGCGGCACCACGAGTTCAAGCAGTTGTAACTACAAGACTGGGGCCGTGTCCTGGCTCAACTTGGCTCTTTGTGTGTGTGTGTGTGAGAGATGTATCGTCAATGTTCTGTTTCGTGTTTTTGCGTGGCAGGTTTGATGAGCAGGAGTCCTACAGCTACAGCAGTTGGGGCCCCAGACGTTTCACCACACAGGTCCACGTTGTCGTAATTGCAGGGATGCTGAGACCTGTACCCGCGGCTCACCACAATGATGCTCACCACAATGATGTGATAATTTCCCAAAATCATGGAACCCCAATATGGACCCCAAAATACTATAGTCCTGATTATGGGGAGACCCAAAAAGGGTACCCCTAATTTAGGGAAACCACCCATGTGTGATTTTGTGTAGGCATGTATCGTATCGCTGTTAGTGGACTGTTCTCATGTTGATGCCGCAGCAACTCAGCAAAAGAGTTCATTTGCGCCTGTTTTTTTGGAATGTCTCGCGCCCACCCGCTAAAGGTAAGCCCTATGTCACCCCTATAATCTCTGTAGTTTCCCTTTTCTTTTCCATTATCCCAATATAACCCCTATATAACCCCAATATTACCCCAGTATACTCCCAATCAAACTCTAAACCCTAAACCCTAAACCCAATAGAACCCTAATATTACCCCAAATAGAAACCCTAAATAGTAGCTTCCATTTTCTTTTCCATTCTCCCAATATAACCCCAATATAACCCCGATAGAACCCTAATAATCCCCCTAAACCCTAAACCCTAAACCCTAATCCCTTTGTTCCGTAGGCGAGCGCTCCTGCTCAGTGGACTCCTACAGCCACGATCCCAGCATGCGCGGAGCACGTGGGAGCCGCAGGGCTTAGGCCATTGGGTTATAATATTAGGTTTGTTTTGGGTTTAGGGTTTAGGGTTTAGGGTTTTAGGGTTTAGGGTTTAGGGTTTAGGGTTTGATTGGGGTTGTATTGGGGTAATATTGGCGTAATTTTGGGGTTATGTAGGGCTAACCTAGGGGCCATATTGGGACAATGGAAGAGAAAATGGAAAGTACTATAATGGGGCTATATAGGGTTTTGGCTTTAGGGTTTGATTGGGGTTATATTGGGGTAATGTTGGGGTTATATAGAGGTTATTTTGGGATAATGGAAAAGAAATTGGAAACTACCATAATGGGGCTACATGGGTTTAGGGTTTACCCTTTTACCCCCCTTCGCCCGAAGATGGCAGCTGCATCTCGAGCTGACATAGGCCCGAAAGCATTCGCGATGCGTTGTAGAAGCCCGGAGCCTCGAACTACTGATGGGGCCTTGTGCAAACCTGCATGCTATATTGGTAGTTCCCAGAATTAGGGTCCCATGCGGGTACCCCTAAATATTAGGTGCCGTAGTATAATCTCAAGCCAAAAGGGGCTCATAATTTTGAGAATAACCCTATACTCTAGTGGTTTATGCTTTTCAAGGCATTCTCTAACCAAGGTGTTCTTGACTCTCTTGGCCAACGAGGTTTTGGGGTTCTTTGGAGAGTTTCTTAGGGTTTGGGGTTCAGGGTTGGTTTCCTGCTTGAGGCTCCTACTCGAGCCTTGACCACTTGGGAGCCGTGGCCTCAGTACCCTGCTCATGATCTCTTTTCAAAAGAACGAAAATAAACAATTTCAGTAATAGGTACATAGATGTGTGTATATGTACACATGTATAAGTATGTGTCTATGTATATGTGTTCCCGTAACGCATCACGCTATTGCGTGGGTTCGGGAGGGTTCCTGAAGCCTGTATGCTGCAGCCTTCCTGATAACAATGACGAAACCTTTAACCTTGATCTTAGAGCTCCACACATTCCAAATCCTAAGCCTTGATCCTAAGCTCCAACACCCCAAACTCTCAGCCCCTCACCCCAGATGCCCAAGCTCAACTCTGTAAGTAGTATATTCAGTTCTTCTCTGTCCTAAACTACCTACCCTAAAATATGCATGAGGTATGCAACCCCTGTATCCCTTTCAGTGGATACATAAAACCCAAATCCTAAACCCCAAACGCCAAACCCTAAACGCCAAGCCCTAAATCCTAAACCCTGAATCCCTTAAACGCTAAGCCCTTAACCCTGAATCCCTCAAACCCTACATCCTGAACTGGAAATCCTCAAGCCCTAAACCCTGAACCCTAAGTCCCCTAAACCCTAAATCCCGAGCCCTTAATCCCCTAAACCTTAAGCCCCAAACCCTAAACCCTAAACCCTAAACCCCTAAATCCCCTAAGCC